GTGTGTGTGTGTGTGTGTGTGTGTGTGTGTGTGTGTGTGTGTGTGTGAGAGAGAGATGCCTTGAAGGATCGTGACTCAGTTTTTACTACCGAGACATAGTGATATGGGAAAAGTTTGGGGGCAGTGCACTCATGACAGACTTGTGAAAAAGAGATTATCTCAAGATACCCAAAACATTTACAGTTCTACATGACTGCTGCTGTATTTAACACCAGTATTGGAGGAATCAGCCAGAACCTTCCGCTTTTTTCTTTTTTTGCTAACAACGCTTTTTAGCCTGCTCCTGGGTATAAATAGCTCAGTGTTAATGATTACTAATTCATTTATTATACTGTTACTATTTAAAGTTTCCTTATAGCCTCCATTATTAATTACTACCTTATCCATCTATGGCACTGAGCAAATTGCACCCTATAGCTCGGAAGGGAGGCGAGATGAATGTCGATCATTTTTACTCTATGTAGGACTGCTGCTCACTATGAGTGTATGACTGTAGTATGAACAGTGTATGGGAACTGGAGTCTGCACATGGAAGCAGTCTGTTACATTCTTAAATTATGCAGCAACACGGACATAAAAGAGCTTTAGCTTGCAGCATTTAATATGTTTCCGCCTGCCTAGCTGCCTCATAACAACATGCAGACTCCACACTCCTTCCACCCCGCTGACACCAGCGAGAGGAGAGAGCAGGGGAGTTTTAATTAACACTGTATATGAGACGACAAAATGGAAGGCAGTGCTCCCCCGAATGCTTAACAAAGGGAAAGCTACTGCACCATCAATTAACAATGCCTCCCTGCATTTCATGAATGATGCATTTTGTGCTGTTTTAATGAGATTTTATGCTGTTTTTTGTATAGGTAAATCCGTGTCGTATGTTCAGTTGTCTATATTTGTACACTAGGTTGTAGGCGAGACAGAAATCTGTCATGATTCCACTTTTGCTCTTGGTGGAAATGAAATGCTGCATCATCATTCAGGTTCAAGTGCAGTTGCTTCTATTGTATGCGAGTTTTATATTTATGGGATTTAGCAAAGAAATAATAAAACCACACAATCTGGTGGACTAATGATGTTCCCACCTGTGTATCTATACTGCGTTCTCAGTAGCTGAATTAATTACAGGTCCGTCCTCCTGGAAAGCAAGGTCACTCCCCATTTTTACTTAATTTTATTCAGGCCAAACAGGGAGACCACTGTGACTGTCTTTGAGTCATCTGCTGACTGAGGATCTTTGCAGAGGGTCTAAAAATAGAGTTCACCTCTAGTGTTACCCTGTGACCCCTCCCACCTTCCTGTCTTCCTGTGCATTCTGCTTGTCGAGTTGCAACCTAGTTGCTTTTAAGCAGTATTGTTTAGATGCACAATGGGATGCTCGATTGAACCTAAACAAACCTTGTTTACATGCAAGGATAGTCATTGCTCTCTTTATACTTCTATACTCCATTGGGTCATATTTAGAATATATTTTATCCTGTTAATGTATGCCCTCAGACGACCAGTCACCTGCTTGCAATTGCAACTCAGCTATTACATAATCAATATTAACTCTGTTCTATTAATCCATTCACGGATTAATAGATGGATCAATGGGGCAACTGTGGCTCAGAGGTAGTGTAACAGCAGTAACAGAGTCAGTGTATTTTTGACCGTGATCTGATTATGCATTCTATGAACCTTAAATGTTTGTCTGTCTGTCTGTCCCTATACTAACTGTTTAGATTGTTGACTAACTATGCTGTGCTGTTGTCTCCAGGTATGGCCGAGTAAACTATGTTCTCGCAAGAAGACTTGAGCTCCTCAGAGAAGTGGGGAGGTTACAGGAGAGCTTGGATGTCCCGGGCGATGTTTCTTACACCTGTGAGACTGCTGGACACTTCTACCTCTACCAGGTAAGCCTATAACAAGGTGTGTGTGTGTAAATGTTTCTGCAACCTGCAGAGAATTAGAATAATGTAATTTTCAACTAATGTTGCCTAGGCTATGCTTTGAATTTTGCACTTAGCATTCTTTCTTATTGTGCATATTATTTGATTAAGCTCAACGTGTATGCATTGACCTTTTAACATTCGCAATTGCATAAAGGTTTAGCAAAACAAACATTACAAAAGTCAAGACCTTTTTTTTTTTCCATCAATCTCTCCTAGTATTAAGCCTTTTAAACATTCTTGAATTCTGTGATTGAGAGACAGCGGGAGAGAGAAAGAGAGAGACACATATTAAAGGGGATACAATAGATATTTTGCTGAATTAATTAGAATAGATTTCTGCATCGTCGGTCCTTTTCCTCAGACATATCCATGCCAGTCAAACCCAGGCATTATTAAAGTTTCCATTCTCCAGACTCATTGCTCTTTTTGCCTAGACTGCAAATACCCAGAAACAGTCTCAACCTCTTGCCATTTATTCCTGTCACCTAATTGTCATTGTCCTCTCAGACTGCAGGAGAAATGCCACCGCAGACAATCTCTTACTTGCATTCCCGTGATTTTTTTCGAAGGGTTCTAAAATAGACAGTATAGACGGTTGTTACATAAAGCAGTACAGTGTGTAGCTGTCATCTTCAGCAGTATGGGGAGCTCAAGTTAAAATCCCAAAGAATAGTTTTAGTGGTGGTCATAGTTCAAACTTTATCCTATTGCAGATAGTTGTTTGGTGAATCCAAACCATAGCACATACTTGGATACCACAGCTGTTACCAGAGCTCTAGTGTCAGAGTTCATGTCTGATATTCATGCTGCCATTTTTGCACCATGCCAGAAATCTGTCAGTGCCCACCCCCCCACCCCCCCACACACACACACACACACACACACCAGTGTGGCTACTTATTAATGTGATGTTGCATGGAGACCGGATTCTTAACACACACTTCGTTCTAGCTGAGTTCTTGTGTTTATTTTAGCTCTGAAAACTGGCCAACAGTGTAGCTCTGTGTGACATTTGAAGATTCAAATGTCAAGAAGTTGTTCGAGTAGTGAATCTCCGTCCATAAGCAGACTACTCTGTCAGTGATAAATGACACCAAATGCACATGCAGACATAATTATTGTTTCGATGGTGGTCTTAATAGTCCATACAGGAAAATACTTAACATGCAATTAAGCCGAGTCCTCTGGCATTTACCATAATGTTGTTTTTCATAAGGGTATTTATAGAACTCGGTTACCCCGCTGTTTGGTTGAAGCTGGTTTATTACGTGCTCAGCAGGGGCACCTGTGTACAAGTGAAGCTATCTGTTCTCATTTGTTCATTTCTGTTTGATGCGTTTTCTGATGCGGTTAAATAATTATAGAGAAAATACAAGGCTGGGCAGAGAACACCCACAGTGCGCTCATACAGCATGTTGTTAGACCTCAGACAGGCATCAACTGAGGCTCGTGCATACCAAAAAGTTTGTTTAGCTATTGTGCAAATTAAAACACTACCACTGTGTGTGTCTGCTCTATCTCCTCTACAGGTGATATCTCGCTGGGAAGAGTACATGAGCAGAGTCCGGCCTAAACAGGGCAAGACGGTGGAGGTGCAAGCTGTGGCTGCACACTTCCCCTTCCACAAGTACTTCTCCAACGCTCCCCAACCTGTGTTCAAGGGCCGCTCATATGAAGAGGACATGGACATAGCAGAGGGCTGCTATCGCCACATCAAGAAGATTTTCACCCAGCTGGAGGTAGGTCACACATACACACACACACACAGAGACCTACTAGTAGTTCCCTCACTGCTGAGCAACACCCAGTGGGACGTAAGGAGGTAACTCCAGTGCAATAAGGCAATTTTATTAATAGTCATTACTGTTAAATTCAGTGTACATTGTATTAAATTGCATACAGCAACAAATAACATGCACAGAAGCACACAGAAGTAAACGTATATAGCCCCTTCCTTCTTTGAAGCAAACGCACACAGGCTTTATTTGACAGTACTCACAGACTATATGTCAGCTGTGTGTCCAGGTGTTGCACAATCACCCATCCACCCATGTCTTCCTGGCCACCACAGTGACATGTTGTTGAAGATTAACAGTGGTGGTAAGACACTGTTTCTGTGGATGTGTCTGCTTATGAGCAGCCCTTTTGCCACGTCTGCATCTCCCTTGAGTTTCAATCATCACCCGTCCCTTTGCTTTAGTTGATACAGTGAATATAAGACACTTAACGGTACTTGTATTGTTTATTTGTAGATTTAATTGCTGAACCCTTTGAAAAGATAAGCGGCACCACAAAGTGATGAAGGCTATTACTGCTTGTCCTTTTTACTCTCCCTGTCACTTTTTTTCACACTTACAAACACACAGCTGGATGTGTTATCGGTACTTCTCAGCCCATCAGGTTTTTCTATAGGGATAACAATAACATTTCAGATTTATGGGAACACCAAGAAGGTCTCCGAAAAGCAATAAAGAAGTTATTGGCTGGAGGTAATATCCCAATACGTGTGGTGACCTTGGTTTATCTGGCCCGGCCTCTGTATCACTGCATCACAGCACCTCTCTCCCTCCTCCCTCAGCCTCACCCATGCTGCAGTGAAATCTGCACACCCATTAAGAGGTATTACTGTCTGTGGTGCAGGTTAGACAAAGCAACATTCTGCTGAATTTGCTTATCTGTCGTGACTCTTCAAATGTTAAAGCAGTATGGAATAAGCTGTCATAGGAATATCCAAAGGATTTATTGCTAGACAGACGGATAGACAGCAACACAATCTGCCCCCCGGGTTCCTCCTGAATAGACATCTCCTGTTTCCTCCTCTGCAGTCCCACCACATCTTTACTGCTGTTTACTTTTTTTTTTTTTTTCTCTTTTCCCTCTCTTCTCCGTATCCGTGAATCTTTTCCATCTCGATTTCACCCTTCAACCGCTCTGGTGCCATGGGGGTTAAAAATAGATCTCATCAATATTGCATGTTTTGATTGGTTTAATATTAATGCTAAAATAGTAACAACATCAAATATTTATACCCCAGTGCTGCCCGAGTCGACTTCTTCCGTCCTCCCTTCCCCTCTGCCTTCCCTACCCCGACATAGCTAGTGGGGCAACCTGAAATAGCACGTCTGTTTACCCATATTCCCTTTCTGTGCTACGCCCACCCATGCCCCCGCACACATCGTGGCTTTCATAGTGCCATGATATTGGCACTCTGAAGTGAACTGATTCAGATGTTGTGTAAAAACAGTCCCCATATTTTCCAGTCTTTGCTGAAGGGCTTTTCAAGCTGCAGTTATTGAACAGCAGCCCTGTCTGATCTCTGTTGCGCTGCATCATTGGAGAAGAGGAAACAGTGTTTGCTGGGGTGAAGTCTCTTGAGTTTTTCAAACACCTACAAGTTGTATATGTGGGTAGACACAAAGATGTATTGGTGTTGTATCTGAATATTGAACTGTGCCTTTTTTCCTTTTAGAGGTGTGATTATTTCACCCTAGATAATCACCGTATCCATCATCATTGACAGTACTCATCCATCATTTTGTCAGAAAGCCATTTAAATTTCCCCTCACAACCCCGTAAAGCACGTAACAAAACTGAACTTCATGCACAAAGAGATGAATACGCATCTATTTAAGTTCAATGTTACCAAGTTCCTCCCATTGGTCATTATAAAAGTAGTTTTTAATTACTTATAGGAGGTTGCAGTTCTTTGCTGTGCAGTGATTGGCTCCTGATCCACCCCTGTTCTCTTGTCTATCTTGTAGGAGTTCAGGGCCTTTGAGCTGCTCAGAAGTGGACTGGACCGCTCCAAGTATCTGCTCGTGAAGGAAGCCAAAATCATTGCCATGACCTGTACACATGCTGCACTCAAACGTCACGACCTGGTGGAGCTGGGATTTAAGGTACGCTATTCTTGGTTGACATGCACACAGAAACCTGGTTAAGCTTGTACTGCAGTTACTTTTAAGTACTTTGTTTAAATTGCTGATTCTCTTTATTAGTACGACAACATCCTGATGGAAGAATCGGCTCAGATTCTGGAGATCGAGACCTTCATCCCCCTCCTGTTACAGGTAACCACTGTCCAGATGTGTTACATTTTAAACTTGTGACGTGCAAGCTTTTAACTAAGACTTTAAAAAACTACAGCCAGAACAGAAAACTCACAGCCTGGCCTAAGCACTGTCATACGTTCCGACATCGAGCCTAGTTTAGTCGTTTACTCGGGATTCTGCTTTCTATCACCTGACTGATAGGCTCCAAACACAGTAATGGTGCTTGTCTTTGGTAGTTGTGCCTAATTGTCCGAGATAGTGCTAATGTCTGTTTACAGATGAGACCATTAGGCACATCAGCCCACCCAGCAACCTCGCCAAATCTCCTCTCTTTATCTCTCTTGTCTAGTGATTCACAGTGCAAGCCTTCTGCCAGGTATACGTCACAGAGAAACTGTTCATTCCCCCCCCTTTCCCTCCCATTCATTATCCAATCATTCAACTCTTATCAGTGATTTTAGTGATTAAATAAACTTTTGACCAGCAATGGTTGTATATCAGATTTGTCTGAGGTCAAGCTCCAAATAACACATCTAATTAGCGAAACCTGGCAGCGTGAGATAGATGCGTGGAAAACGCTGTCCAGGCCCTTCATGCTTCACTGCCCTCCGGTACTTGTTTTCCTCTGCTGAAGATCTGATTTCACAGAGACTCTATAATATTGTCACGTCATTAGACAGAACAAAATGTAATAAAGTTTGACAACATGGAGTAGTTGTAGTACACCGGAATTACACATGTGGACATCCGTTAGACTTTGTAGGTTGGATTTCAATTCATGCAGCTAATACACCCACCTGTACAGATCAAAGGGAAACATGATACATGATATACTGGGTAAAATGGAAAAGATTTATTTTTTACTGAGGGTATTACGGACCCCTGTATTTCATTTCGGTGTTCTCTGTACCCGGTGTTCTTACTACTACTTTCTGCATCTTGCCCTCTTGTCAGAACCCAGAGGATGGCTACAGCAGGCTGAAACGTTGGATCATGATTGGAGACCACCACCAGTTGCCCCCTGTTATCAAGAACATGGCCTTCCAGAAGTACTCCAACATGGAGCAGTCGCTCTTCACCCGATTTGTGCGCCTTGGAGTGCCCACTATAGATCTGGACGCACAGGGCCGTGCTCGTGCAAGGTGGGTCAACCCGTACGGAGCATAAAGCCGTCTGTTTTGACCAACTTAATTTCACAAAGGATGCCCTATCTGAGTGATTGGTACCGTCTCCTCACGAACAGGACATTACAGCGTGACTTACTGTGTATCTGTCCTCTTCTCCCACAGCTTATGTAACCTGTACAACTGGCGCTACAAACACCTGGGGAACCTGCCTCATGTGCAGCTACTGCCTGAGTTCCAGGTGCCCAACCCTGGCCTGACCATGGACTTCCAGCTAATTAACGTGGAGGACTTCAATGGGGTGGGAGAATCCGAGCCCAACCCTTACTTCTACCAGGTCAGTAGCAGTGCACACCACAGAACACAAATACACACACGGTACAACTGTTATTTGTACATACACAATCTTAGAACAGCAGAAATAGTTGTGTGGCAGCTTATACACTCCTTTACATGGATACACACTCATGCACACTTAGTTCCACCAGAGCGGAGAACCATACTCCTCCCAAACCTCCATTTCCTCTGAATCGGTTGTTGTACAGCAGTTCACTCCTTTTAAAATGTTAATGGTTTAGCTACCCGGTCCATATGATATATTCATAACCCTGTCTAGTCTGCAGCTAGCACTGGCTGTGTCCAGCACAGACCAGTGGTTGGTCCTTCACACCAGGAGCCAGATTGTGTTTCCTCATGACATTGCTGAGACGCTCAAGACTGTGTGTGGGCATAGAGCAGGGTTGATAGGGATATGTAAACAAAAACTAAAAGCAGTCCCCTTTGGCACCGCACCAGCACAGAAGCCCAAATGTTGCTGTGTTATGCTACTTTGTTCTGCTATTGGTGGTTCTGAAAAACTGTGTTCCTTTTTAATAAAGGATGGAAGCTAAAACTAGAATAGTTGTTAAACAGCCACTTAGAGGACACAACAGAGCTTGTAGTTGTCAAAAAGTAAATTGTCTGATGATTACAATACGTACTAATTCTATCAGTTGAGACACTGATTTGTTTATAAGCTCATGGCCAATGAACATATCTCTGCTTCATGAATGTGTGCACGCTCATGTCCCTGAAGCCTTTTATTGTTCTTAAATCCAGACCATGTGCACTTCTCGAGGCACCGGGTCACATGAACGTCGACTCCATTTGCCTGTTGCCATTTTCAGGCCCCTCGAGGGGAATTTCCGCAATCACTCACTATGCCGTATTCGCACACACACATGCATGCACAAACACTCGCACACATTCATGCACTTTCCTAGGAAGCAGAACGAATAAATTGGACACTAGAGAGGCAATTGTATCCAGAGCATGCTGGATGTCTGTCACAGCTGAACAAACACTGCCACAACCATGCACACCCATCACATACACAAATAAGTGTGTGCGCTCACACGCACGCACACACACACACTTCACACTCCACGGGTCTGCTTTTCTTCTTCGCCTCATTTGTTAAAGCACTTTCTATACAGAGTCTCAGCCCGTTGATAGTACTTCCCAAGTTGTCAAATGGCTCATAAAGGGTAAGATGCTTATCTAAATCCACATCTTCTGTTGTTAGAAAATGGCTTTTCTCAGCCACTATGCTTGTTAGTCAAAGCTTTTCTGCTTCGCAGGCTACATTTAATATTTCGTAAGAGCAGAAATCATTGTGGGCTTTACACTCAGGTTGACTGATTTATTACTCTGATTACCTCTTATGTGTTTGTATCTACACCACAGTTTGCGATCCTCTCTCCCCTTCTTATTCGTCTCCGTTTTTGCTCTGCAGTCAAACTGTAACGCTGCCTCATTAGTATGTTTTAGCTGTATTCAGGCGCACAATTAACATTAGATGTTTACGGAAATTATCCTAAATGTCAACTGAAGCGGGGTCTTCACTTCCTTGTAAGTTTAACAAGGAACCAAACCGTAGGGACCAGAATGAATACAGCAAGCACAAAATGTTTCTATCAATATCACTGGCTCGTAATCTGACATGTAGATGTCATCGTGGTTTACGACATTTTGTCGATAAATGTTATATTTTTCCTATAAGAAAAAAAAAAAAAACACCAACTCACACCAAACATTAACTGCCAAATTTGAGTGTACATTTTCTATCAGTAGAAACCTGGTTTGGCCATTAAAGTTCTGAATTTGTGCCATTTGGAGACCGTTGGTAGGGAAAGAAGAACAGAGGCTATCACTGTTTTGATGTTTTGACTCCAGTGCAGCTGGATCAGGAACTGTTGATGAAGCTGCATACATTATTATCAAAAGATGTGAGGCTGCAGTCCAGGCTTAATTGAAACTGGATGAATAATGCATACTGTTGCCTTTTTTCTTCTTTTTTTTTTTTGGTCACATTTGAAAAACAGGAGTGTAGCTTTGGGGCCAGCATGCACATGCTGAGGAATCTGTTGGTTGCATAGTATGTGAATGATGCATGCAACGTTGGCCTTTCAATTTAGACACATTTGGAGAACAAGATCTTGTTTTGTTGTTCTGGGGCTGGCCATTTAGTGTGATGTTAAAGACCGCCTTGTTTTATTTGATTCTTTTATTTGTGTTTCTTTGAATATATATATTTTCAAGTACCTAGTGCTCCTCCTGTAACAATCATCTTTATATAGAATATTGAATCAACTACCAGTAGCTATTTGTTTTAAAGTCCTGCCTTTTCTAGTTAAAATGTAAATAATGCGATACATTGTCATTATATTATGATCACATTTTGTTAGTAATGAAACTGTAGTACTTCTCTGCAGGGGTTCCTAGATTTGGACATTTTGTCCCAACCTGGCTAGTGGTGGTATTGAGCGTTGCCTGAGGCAATTAATTCCAACCCAAATCAGATGGTTACTCATGCACGAATGAGTAGGCTTTTATCTGGCTAAAAAGTGGAACACTTGACAGGCGAGAAAGGGCTAGAGCATGATGTTAAAGTAACAGACAATGAGAACAGCAAGGTGTCAAACGCAGCAGACACCCCTGGGTCTGCTGATAGGAAGAGAGGCCCATGTGTTTGGGCTTTGATTCACTACAAAATTACTGTATTGATGGACAATTGCTTTTTAATTTCATTTTCCCAAACAACTTTTTTTTTTTTTTGCTTCTCCCATTACTTGTGTAATGTATATTTAAAATATGATGGTATTCATCTTACCTCTCCTTTTCTCCTTCTTCCTGTGAAGAACCTGGCGGAGGCGGAGTATTCTGTGGCTTTGTACATGTACATGCGTCTGCTGGGCTACCCTGCTGACCGCATTAGCATCCTCACCACCTACAATGGACAAAAGCACCTGATCAGAGACGTCATCAACCAGCGCTGTGCTGGTAATCCCTTCTTCAGTCAGCCTAACAAGGTAAGGACCTCATGCACCAGTTGACACTGGGCACAGTGAACAGTGCACACAGCTGCATCCAATGATTGTATTGTTTCAATTATTATAAAGCATGGGAAGGGAGACGATGCATCTAAGAATCTATCACCCCCCCACCCCACCCCACCCCTAAGCATTCCATTACTGAAACACATCCGAGTCCACATGCATGAACTGTAGACACTCTTAATATCACTTGAGGGTGACACATTTCTTCTCTCCTGTCAGGAATGAATCCACAGTCCCAACAGACATGTTTTCACCTCTTATATGTGTGTGTAGGACTTTAGTAGGAACATGCATGACACACACATGAATAGTGTTTTCACACCTTCATTTGTCGGCTGCATTCAACGCACCGACCTTCTATCCTCTGTTACACTGAGAAAGAAATTCACAGCTCTCAACTCTCACAAGGCTTTTGGTGTTTCTGCCTCCCATCAGTACAAACATGTACATCTTCTCTTTCCCCCTGTGCAATTTAAGAAGTTTTGTACATTTTAACTATGCGTTTTCTCAACTCCCCTCATTTTTGCAGAGTGACATACAGTATTCCTTTTTTTTAAGTGGATCTGCATGATTCTCACAGGGTGGAAAATTACTGAGCAGCTCAGGGAAGTTCTTGATTCACTTTTCGCTGTTGTAAGCAAAGGAAATTAGTATTTTTTTTTTTCACCCTGGCACTCTGACATTGTTCTGCTCCATCAAATCATAAGACTATCAACTGCTGCAGGTCATAAGACCCAAGAAGAGCAAGAGACTGTGTGCCCTCTGTCCCAAACAGTTTACACACCAGCTGACGGAATACCTCTGTAAATTAAACTCACTGAGGTGTGTGTGTGTGTGTGTGTGTGTGTGTGTGTGGGTGTGGGAGGAAATGATTTAAATGTGCATACTTTGAGAGTGGGTGTAGACTCCATGCTGTGTTCATCCCTGAAGAATATTGTTAGATTGTCTTCAGCCCACGGTATCCCCCCCCCTACTCCTCTTGTTTCTCTTCTCTCTTTCCTTCCTTTACACTGTGTTAAGTCAGCAGCCCGTTGGCATAGTTTTCTGTTTGTTCTGCTAAATGCTTTTACCCGCTAGCCTGAGGTTATGCTTTCCTCTTGCTTCCTTCTTTTTCCCCCCAACCTGTATTCTCTCACCTTTCTTTGGTCTCCGTTCTTCAAGCTTTTTGCTCACTTTACATTGCCACAGACTCTTTAGGCACGCCAGAGAAAGTTGCAAGGTTGGAGTGTAAATGGCACATCACCAGTCATTGTGCAGAGTCAGCATGCCTCCGAATATTTTGTGTATGTTTCTGTTTGTGTAGTGTAAGTGGTAAGCAAGGTGGTTATCCCCACTAATGAACTTTCAGCAGTATATATGCCAAAATAGCAGGCGAGAGTGAACACAAGCACACAGCACAACAGTGCGTCTGTTAGCCCAACCTTTCTTCATCGTTTGGGGTTTTTATGGAAAATATAAAGGTAATGTTATTCTGTATTTGTCTTATTGTCAACAAATATCATGAAGATACCAAACCATGTCTCTTGATAATCCCTGATTCCACAGCACGTCAGACGTACACCCTTAACAACAGGTCAAACATTCATAATGTTCTTTTTACAAAACTAAGACTCAGCTGTATCCGGCTTTGTTAGTAGGACCATTATATTGTTTGTTTTGGTCTTTTCTTGAGATTTGGTGACACAATTATATACCGAAACAGCCTTATCTTTTAACGCATAAAGGTACAAACTCAAATTGCAGAATGTTAGCGTTTATTAATTGTCCAACAAGCAGGCAGGACGTGAATCCCTCTCATCGCCTTGTGTGAATGCTGCATTCTACCACCTGCAGGGTTCGAGTCTTTATTCTCCGGTTGTTGTTTTGTATTTTGCGCCGTGCAACGCTACCTTGTTGCTCTGTCATGTCCCCTGTTCTGACAGCTAGAAAGACATTGTGCTTGGTCATGTTAAATGTCCTGCAATGTTAAGACCTAAAGTGTCATTCATTGTGCTCATGGCCTGAGTCAGTATGCATGCCTAGTAATAAAGTGACAGTGGTGACAGGCTGCTAGATTTGCTGAGAGGAGAAGGGAGGGAGATGAAAGCGGGGCTCTTATGGGAAAATGCTGAGCTGCTGAAAGGTCATGGCGCAGAGCATCGGGCCCACAGTGTGTCTGAGGATATGTCACAATATCTAAAACTAAGCAAATGTCAACAGCCATCCTTCTTTATAGCAATGACTTGCATTAGTAAGATAAGCAGAGGAGGGACAGTTAGCACCAGCCACAGTCCCAAAATCAAATAAACATACTGGCCTAAGCTGTCTAGTGAATCTCAAAAAACAACAGTTGGCATTCATATGTATGCGTTATGCATTATTTTGTTTACTCTATGAATTTTACAGACGGGGTCCATTTGAGTTTGCTTTCTGTTTGTGCTGTATATTTTAAGCACCAGTGTTTATTTATTCAGTTTGCTTATTAAAACTTTATTACATAAATGCAAACTAGATTCAAAGTCATTGGATCTGTTCTGGTCACCCAAATCCCAGCCCAGTCCTCACAGGCGGCCAAGCAATCACACAAAGCAATGTTGAAGTTTTAAGCAACTGTGATTAAGTTAATCTGTGTTTGGTTAGTTAAGCACATCAATAGAGTCGAGGAGAGATAAATGAGAAGTGACGAGTGTGCATGTTTAATCTTCGAAGTTCACCTTCTGCATCCCTCCCGCCGTTAATATATGTGGCTGCAAACGCACACACTTTCAGTCAATTTTGCTGTGTGACCGGAACCAGATTATATCCGGATATGTTGACGTATAGATCGGGAAACCTCTTCCTAACATCTCCCAGCATGCCTTTTCAAGGCATCAAATCTTTAGACACACGTGGATATGAAGGGACAAGGAATGAGACATAACCTTGTTAACTCTGTCATCCCTGAGAGTCTCTAGTGAAAAATTCAATAATCCGTCAGTCTGATGTCTGCACATTCCAGGGTTGTAATTACTATGAATAAGACATAGCAGGAATGATAGAGTTGGGGTGGGGGGGGGGGAGTAGAGATCCACGCTTGACCATTAGCTTAGAGACGGTACGTCATTATCTTCATGACAATGAGGAGAAGGAGGCCAAGATGAAAGGAAATGACTCTCAGTCAACTAGTTTCTATTTGCGACAAAGTGCGTCTGTGTGTCTCACGGCATATTCTGAGTGTTTCTGTGCTTCCTTTATGCACAGACATGCATGTGCCACAATGACATGACCTCTGTAATTCACTCCCTGGAAGATTTCTCATAAATAATTAAACACCGTGCAAAATGCTACGCCGTGGGGAGAGTTTCTATCTGGGCTTCGTTGTCACTGTCTGTGTGCTAAGAATAACTCCCTCAAGTGCCCTTTCTCTGCTAAACAAGTTGCACTGTTTTGGTTGAAACCATGCAGTTATTGCCCCTTTTTAAGTCCGCAGTTATAGTCTACTCCCGACAAAGGGTGCGCTGGAGTGTCTCCGTGTACGCCACATTTGTGTGAACATGTGCATGCAGTCTTAAAGCAGCTTGTTTGACTTGAACACAGCCCACGACGCCTCATACTATTGTAAAACCGACACACTGTTGCCTCTGCAGCTGCACCTGTTCTACATGGCGACAGGAAGACGTAAATAAATATTGGTCTACTACATCGTTAGCCCCGTCTCTCCCTCTTTTACACGTTCACACACTGTCCCCACTCTCCCTTCCTGTTACTTAAAAGGGGGGGTTTGGAAGGGTAAAGGGAGTTCCAGGATCATTTAAAGTTGCATTAGCTAATAACCGCGATCACGGGATTACTTATTTAGAATGTCCGGTTTATTGGTCGGTTGCTGTAGCCCTGGACCTATGTGGCCTCTCGATGGTGGGTGATGTCCTATTGATCCACTCTACCGGATGGATCTATAGAGGAAAGGCCAATCTCTTTTGGCTGGGCTTTGAATTTTGCAGCATGTGGCCTGTATAATTGCATAGTAGTGTTTTCTTAAGCAGGACTTATGACCTGTTTTGTTTATGTAACCATTATTTACAGGCAGTCTTACTTTATGTAGGTTTAGGCTAACATTATTGCTTCTTACTTACAACATACAAACGCATCCCTCCCTGAAGTCTTATCGGCATTTTCCCTCTCCACACTATCGCTATTATATCGGCTTATTAAAATCGGTCGGCCTCTAGTTCGTGACATGTAATGGGTTCAGTTTTACAGGATTTGCTTTGCTTTGTATCAAGTAGCAAGTGTGTTTTTCTTTATTATGAAAGGTGTAACAACACTGACAAAGTGAAAACACAGCTCCGTTCTCCATGTAAGGGAATGAATATGCTTCTCAGCAACACAGGATTACCGGGGTATAAAAGCAAATTGGCTGACACAACCTTCCTTTTGCTTCGGGGGGGACTCACAGAGAGCCACTTCTCCATTCTGTCTCCCTGAAATAATCTCTGATCCATTCAAGCAGCGTGGCCCCCAATTCCTGGGCCCTGAGTCTCAGGGGCCCAGGTGAGGGACTGATGGCATAATGCCCTCTAAGCCAAATTAGCCCCGCTGGCTGCCCATGTGGCCCGCAGGGATTACAGCATTAACAAGAAAACCCCGGCTTCTACTGTATAATGAATATGTTTGTGTCTTTGCAGGTGACCACAGTGGATAGGTTCCAGGGTCAGCAGAATGACTACATCATCCTCTCCCTGGTCCGCACTAAAGCCGTGGGACACCTGAGGTAATTACAATGCGCGCTAAGCAGAAAAACTAACCAAAAATAGACACCGTAAGCTGCTATTCCACAAATGCATACCTGTTTAATAGGATCTACTCCTTAGATACACATCATCCAGGGACAACACAGCACACATTTAGGCAATTAACTGTCTTGAAATCCAACTTTCAGGAGGTTTTCTCACTTTGCCGTGTGTAACTACTCAATGATGTTTGCTAAAGGACAAAAAAAAGACTGTCTTGAAGTATGTATGAGCTTAATTTGAGGCAGGGAGGATAAAGTGTGCTTCAGGACGGGATCATGTCTGTGGAGCTGACTGTACTTTTTGTTCTGGTTAAGAGAAGCCATTGTGCTCTGATGATTGGGGTGAGACTATCAAACAAAGTGCTTTGCTCTGATCAAAGACATGCCATATAACAGTAATTAAGAAGCATGATCGTTCACCAAACTGCAGTTATAGGTTTAATGTATTTTTGTTCCATGTCCAATTGCTATCCACTCAACTATACTCCCATGCGGGCTTCTCTTTCTCTTAGTCTTCAGCTCAGTCTCCTTATCTCTGTGCTCCCTCTTCTCTTCACTCCCACCTCCTTCCTCATTTCACTGAATTGATTTGTAGTGAAATGGCCTTTCAGTCCTCCTCTGCCATGACATCCTGAGGAGTTCTTCACACCTAATGCGCTCCATGTTTTAATACCAGACGATTGAGGCTGAACTCTTCCACAGTACTTCAGCTTTGCCATGCGGGCCTCTGGCTGTGATGTACAGTAGCTGCTGTTGGGATTGCACCACTCACAGCTTTATCACAGCTGTACAGCCAGTGCATTCACCCGCCCTCACATTGGACAGTCTGCAAATTGGAGCCCCAGTGCGAATAATAAGCCATTCCTTTTGTAGCTAAATACATGCACAACACACACACACACACACACACACCCTTGAGCGTGGTCATTTTACCCGGCAGAGCAAACACTTACAAGCTCTATTTTGTTTTTTCTTCATCTCACAGATAAAGCAATGAATTGATGTAGCTGGGAGGGAGAAGTGCAGCGGGCCACAGAGAGTGGTAGTTTATCTTGCTGCCAGCAACGCCGGCTCTCCTCTCGGTATCATTCATTTGATCGTGTCTTACACTGGATATTGCACCCTGCCTTACACACATTCTCAGCCCACACAGAGTGGGGAGGCTGTCAAAAGGCTGTCCCTTTAACAATGTGCTACAACTCTAGTTATCAGTCAGTGGAAGGGTATACAATAATACTAGAGTCTCTATTCTCCTGGGTATGTACTTGTATCCAGGACATTGGGCCTGAAAACCTAGTTTTATTCTTACCACGAGTGATGAGCTCAAAAAAATAGGAGTAGAACAGACATCAAACTGTTTGCCGTGGTCAATTAACTAGGGCAAAAAAAAAACACTGCTCATTTGGTTGTTACCGCAAAATCTCTTGCAATGGCAACAGTATACACGTAAAAATGGCCGCCGCTCTGACCATCCTGCTACGTTGATTTGAATGAGAACGTCCGTGTCGAGTAGCTACGGGCTGCTACAGAGGTCTGGTGCGCTCACCGCTTTGTGACTTCACACCTCAGTCTTCAGCCCCAATTGGCGTTGACTCAAGTGATGTCATTTGAGGCAGTTTATCAGTCACTGCTCTGGAGCCACAAAAGGTTTTTTTTTCCCACATATGCAGTAGTAGTCACCTGAAAAACTAGATCAGCACACCTCCCCTTTTAATATCAGAGCAATTGGAGTAACATATATTAATTCTATTTTTCATAGGCTTTGCTTTGACTTTATATTCATAACTTGGTGTCCCTGACACTTCTGAATGGTCAGCTGCGTGGTTGAAAGAGCAGTGATTCATGGGAAATCCTTGTGCTGTCCATTGTGTTCCCCCCCCCCCCATACTGGGCTCACTGTGGCGTCCTACCTTACAATCCTCCTCCTGTACTCTGCTCTCCTCTCTCACTGCATCTGTCCTCATGGCAATCTGCTGGCGTGACGCCCACAGGGGACGCAGCTGACCATATGACAAGCTGACCCTTGCTTTGATGGGAGAAGCACTCCTGCTAACGCAAACAGGCACGCACACATGCAGGAGAGCACTCTTTGACAGGGAAGCACAGATCTAGACCTGTTCTGACACACACACACACACGTGAGAACACACACGCAAATGGTATTTGGTACACTTCGCCCTGCCATGTCACAGCACAGGTGGGCGTCTCTCAGTCGTGGCGTGTCCACAGGCTATCATGCTTCATGATTGGCTCATCTCTTCTAGAGCTCTCCACTCATTGGTTTTTAGGTTGTTGGTAGTTTGTCTCTTTGGAAATGTTGTGCTTTCAAGCTTCATTTTGTGCTATGCTTGAAATTTGCAGCAAACGTTACATAAACCTACCGTCTGCATACGTTAACTCCATCATAAACCCCGCAGAATGCTTTCCATAAGCCTTTTTTTCCTTCTACATATTCATGGAACCCATCATGCATATTGTAAAAATGAATCCTCTTAATCTCAGGAAGTGCTCAGGTGGACATATTCCACATTTTCTGGCTACATTTCAACATGTGTGTTTGTAAGTGCGTGCATGCAAACATGGGTGTGTGCCAAATTCTTGTACATCAAACGAAAGACAGTTTTCAGTATCGTCACAGCTGCTTGAAAAAGCGAAACACTCTCCCCTCGCATGCTCTGCCTTCTCCCGTGCTTTGTAGATTTCAGTAAACCAGTATGCTTTTGTCTCAGATTTATAGGCCAGCTGGTCATATTTTGCTAAGCTCCATTAGGTTTCCTGTTCAAACACCTAAAACGCACAACGGTTACGAAGAGTACCATTACGCAGATTTATTTCATACATACAATTGGAAGGGTATCTCCGCCTTTTATACATTTCTTTTTTACATGGTACATTTTTGTGGATTTTAGAAGTTTACTTCTACCATCTAACTTAAATATTACTAAATAGATGTGTACTATGAGAACACACTTTTTTTTTTAAAGCTTGGACTGTCAAATGCAGTGTTGGACATGTTTTTAGTTCTTTAACTCGGGGATATAAGCATTCAGTGGTAATAATATAAAATAGGACAGGTAAACAACCTCTTTCACCACTAGAGCAAGTCGAGCAGGATTCTGCCATTCTCTAGTCGCTAATCTCTTAATTCTACTGGATGACAAGAACAAATAACCTGTCTGCCCTTTCTTATACTCCTACCTCTACCTTTCTCTCTCTCTTTGTGTGTCTTGTTCATCTCTGCTTTTTGCCTTTTCGTGAATTTATTTTCCGCTTAGCTTCTATGTCTTCCCTCACCTATTGCTGCTTATCCTTCACTAAACCTCTCTCCTCCTACTCTGCACTGCCCCCCCCTTCCCTTTACAGTCTTTATTTGATCCTTCCACTTTGATCCCTTTACTTCAGTTTTTGTTTTTGCCCCTCTCATAGATTTCTTTTGTTTTTTCACTCCACAGGGATGTGAGGCGTCTGGTGGTAGCCATGTCAAGAGCCAGACTGGGTCTGTATGTCTTTGGACGGGTGGCGTTGTTCCAAAACTGCTTTGAGCTGACTCCTGTCTTCAGCCAGCTCACTGCCAGACCCATGCAGCTGCACATCCGGCCACACGAGTACTACAGCCAGGAGCAGCCCGTATGTCAACGCACACACCAGTATCTTAAATGTTCAATTATCTTCACTCCAGATCCATATTTGCCAATAACAACTGAGCTTCCTCGTCCACATCAGTCCATTTCCACATAACTGTTGCACTCTCCAACTTCTTTCCACGTCATATCTGCGACGGCCCCCTGAATGGCATCTTCTTTCCCTTTTGGTCCTCATTGGTCCCAAGTCTTACTGCTGCTTTACCCACTGGCCCCGGCCTATTAACAGCATTCAGCAGGGGCCATGTGTAAGCATGGGAAACACAGTCTGGCTATAATTAACCCCCAGAGGTCAGAAAGCAAAACCACTCTCCCAAATCCCGCCAGGCCCGCATGAGACGACTGTTGTCTGGTCACTGTGTCTCGCTGACTGGCGTGTGTGGCAACAGGGGTGTCTAAAATACCCCATAGCCTCTGACACTTCCTCTGAGTCTAGAGTGTTCATCCCCATGGGGGACAGTTCTTTTGGGCACACACATGCGGCCCCTGCTTAGCCCGTCTATCTGGAATCAGTAAACCCCTGCTGCTTACACGCAGATTAAAAGTCAGATCTGGCAACACGACCAGGACTAAAACAGGCTACTCAATGTTGCCGATTCAGAAGCGGTTCTAAAGATACAGGATACACTGCTGTTTAATGCTCCATGTGGATATATACACATTTACAGCACTGGTAGATAGTATTGGGCAGACGGTAAAACTTAGTGTCTACACTCAAACACGTGTCTTGATGTTTTTACTGATAGTTTTGCAGTAATAAAACACAGTTCAGTTTTACAGTACTGGGAGCATCACCCCTGTACTCATGAGGTAACAGCCCAGCAGATTGCATATTCTGCTCACCTCACTCCCCAGTTTATGCTGTAAAACTCTGTCTGCATACTAATACTGTCAAATTACAACTCTGCATCCCCAACTCCTTTTTGATAGTGTGTGAGCAGCGATCACTTGAAGCAGCAAGTGAGAGTTTGCTTTTAATTAAGCGGTTAACGGGCAGGTGGTATGTAATTTCCTTGCACACATTTGCATCAGATAAATTATTTACCAACGTGGAGCCGGCTAACGAGACAGATGTACGTTTTCATTACCACTCCTTTCACATCATAGCCTGCATTCTAAATAGTCTTTCTCTTACGGATCTTTTTTTGTTTCCTTCTCACAGAGAGATGCGTCTGGACAGGCAGACCAAATAATCAAGAACATGCCGGAGATGACCAACCTGGTGTATAATATGTACATGCATATGATCCAGACCTCCCAGAAGAACAGACAGGTAAACGCCTTTGATAAATGCAATAGTGAAGAGTGCCAACAAGCAGTGCAGTATTGCTGCTGTCTCATAGGTGTATTATAGAAGAGAGGCATGCATTACTATTTAAAGTGTACACACACATTATACTAACAGATATTTGTCTTTAACTTCCTTTAAGTCTTGTGACATTAAGCACTGCTGACAGCTGTCGGTGTCTCTCCCTGGTCGCTTTTCTAGTATCTTTAATCTTTAATGCAGAACAGTAAATGGGTCAGATGTAAGAGAGCTGTTGTAGTTGTGCATATGGAGAACTAACAGGCCGCAAGCGTATTACAGAATGGAGCTAAGGTGAATTTTACACATGTTATCCATCGTCACATATTGTCTCTTGTGCAATTTTATAAAGAGGATTAGGACTTGACTGTGAGAGAAAAGGTTCGGACTTGTTCAGACTGCCAGCGCAATTCCATTTTTTGGCATATCCAGACTGTATCCAGATTGATTTAAAAGTCTGGACGGCAAAAAAAACTAAACGCAATTTTTGTAAATCGGATCCAAACCACATTGGGAGGTAGTTTGAAATGCAATTCCAGTCTTAATTTCAACCGATGCGTCTCAGTCCAGACATTCTGGCGGCATAAATCGGATTTCAAAGTGTGGAAGTGCTAAGCAGAATCCATTCTGCGACTAGCAGAGCGCTATGGAGGACAACAGATGAGGACAATAGTCTGTGTAAAAAAACTCCAAATTAAATGTGTACCAACCTCCTTCGTTGCTGAGTTTGTCTGGTGCAATGAAGGAGTTCTGCACTGCAAACAGCTTGTTTCAAAGGTGAATGCTTACTTGAATAGCTTCATTGTTACTGACGCCTAAATCGTTACCACAGCAGCCCGTGTAGATAGGGTTAGTGATGTCACAACACGCAAATCTGATCTGATCAATTGCAAATAACAGTGCGGATCATCTGCCTTTAAGATCTGATTTGAGAACCAAATCGGATTTGCCCGCAGTCTGATCCAAAGACTTTGCTTTGATGATATTCTACTTTGCCCTCAACATAGACTACTTCCCAGTAGAATGCAAGTACATTTGATATTTTAGTAATAGGAACTCAAGGTGGAAATAATCTTCCTCTACACTTTGTATCTTTCCCTTGGCTTCGTAGCAGCAACAGCAGAAACTGGCTCTGCCTCCACAACAAACCGAGACCGATGCTGCAGTCGAGAAAGAGACCGTTAGCTCTGGGGAACCGCAGGAAGAAACCCCCATGGAGCAGGAAAACCCAGACGGGGAGTCAAACTCCAAGCCAAACGCAGAGGACACCAGTGAGAAGGAAGAAAAGCAAGATACAGTGGGCCATGCTAAGATGCCAGAGCATCCTGGCAGAGACAGCGACAGTGACGGGGAGGACAGTGGAGAGGAGCAGAAGCACTAGAGCATCCACATGTGGGACTAGCGTTAAGGGCTTCAGTTGTTTAGGGAACCAAGTGGACTGTCCCTTAAGGAAAGATTAGCAGGGAGTCATTGATTCTGAATGAGTTTTCGGGTGATAATGTTTCATTCATTTTTGTAAAACATTCAATTTTGTTACCATCATAACTTTTTTTAATAAAATAAAATAAACGCAAATTCTTTATTTGTCTGTAACATGTTTCACTATATGTGCACTCACCAGAGCTTATACTGCTCTTAATGAGGTTCTCGTCACTCTCACACGCACACTCTGACAGACAAACCCATTGTATAGTCAACATGTTTAAGCCTTGATAAACTATCTCTGTCATGACACTTCCATCCATTCATCTGCTTCCCTTTGCTTTAAGTACAACTCCAATCTGATTGGCTCAGCCTATACCGGCTACACAAGCTGCGACTAAGCTGCATTTGTAGGTCAGTCGCTCCACCCAAGGGCCAATGTGCATGCTGGGGGATTTCAACCTGCCCTCTGGATGTATAGTCACTCAACTAGCACGCCTTGAATCCTTTGTCATTCATAACTTTACTAACGTAGAGCTCTGCAGAATAACTTCAGCTGTATCAGTGTTCAGGTTGAGGACCAAATTTAAGAAAATAATTTCAGGCTTAATATTTGTGTTGCCATTAAAGCAACTGTTCAAACGCCAAGTCTTTGTAGTTTAAACATAACCTCTTCATTTGAAGTGAATTTAACACAGTCCACAGCCCTGAAGCTGAAAACACAGACTGGAAATGCATTCATTCTCATGCACCAAAGGTTGGTTGGTTGGTTACATCATACCTCAGGCAGGCTGAGATAACAGGTCAGCTGCACAGCTGCTCTAGCCTGGGCCAGTGTAAAGACCTGATGGAGAACCATGTGTTGATAGATGTGGAGAGACATATTCTCTGTATTCAGTCAAGTGCGGATCCATGTTACGTTTATTTTATCTTCTGAGAGCAGAACACTCCGGGTCCCAAGTTCTCATGAGTACGTTGGAGTGTCAGGATATGCTTCTGTCAGCTAAAGAAAGGATTAGAATGAGAGGTTGGATAAGGAAGATTATCTCTGTCGGCCGAGTCTGCATCTACAAATGACTGTTTTTGGGATTAAGCCGCACAAGACAAAGACCAATTTACATCACATGATGCTGAAGCGTTTATTTATACCGAATGGCCAAACTACCACAATAGACTTTTATGCAGCCATAACACAACATGTTGTTCTATCATCTGTATCACTAATTGACTCTCTACAAACCCCATGACAGCAAGCATACTTCTTCTTGAGTCACATGAGTGTCTGCATTGTGTAATTTCCTCCCTCTGCTCAGCCATTCAGTCGCTAACTTTTCTGTTTTCTCCCAGCTGGCCCTCTTGAGAATTGAGTTGCCTGTGGTCCCTTGTTGTAAAGTAGAGCTAACCGGTGGGAAGTGGCTACTGCTCGCACACAACAACTCTGGAAGGATCTGGAAGACTGGAAGGAATAGCTGCAGGCAAAAAAGGAGATCAGGAGCTCGCATCCTCCAGAATCTTTCTCTGCTGAAGGTGAACATGTCTTTTATACTCACACGACAGGTATTCATTAGGTTAATAGCTACTTTGCAAAGCACTCGCTTCTAACCTTTGCTATGGGCTGATGTGTCACAGAGACTAACAGCATGCTGGAAACTGTAAGTGTTCATGATTTGGTCATGAGTTCAGATGGTATGTTATTGTTCTCTTGTAATATATATATATATATATATATATATAGTGTTATAGTATATTATTCACTCATTTAAAGAGGCTTATGTAAATGTACAAAAACAAGAGACGAGGTGCAAGAGGAAGAATTTAAGAGATAGCAGAAGTGTTTTATTTGAGGTTTTGAGTCCACTTGTCCTCGTTGTGACATATTACCCTGCCTTTTAAATAACTTAGTTGCTGTGTGGGTTTCTTCTTCTCGTTTCCCAAAAGCACGGGATCCACCGTGTGTCATGTAATGCCCAGCCCTACTTGTCATAACAGGAAATTACACATTACATCGTCAAGAAGACAGTGCCTTGAGGGGGGAAGCATCTGGCCGTTATGTCTTAAAGCTAAAACAGGTTTAGGAAATCAGCCTGACGGCACACAATGCTTTCACACTCATGAAACCATCAGTTCTACAATCTCTACTGCAAGGCTGCCTCAGGGCAGATTATTATTCTGTTGGGTTTTAAAACACAAAAAAAAGCTCTTGCTTATTATTGCATTTACTTGGTTAAAATTAAATTTCACTGAAATTGTAGTAGACTGTAGTAAAAGTCTCCATATATGGAGACTTTTACTACTAAATATGTATACATATATATATATATATATATATATATGCACATACACTATCAGGTATGCAGGGTTCACATTACACAGAATTCCAATTAGCATTTTTTCACCATGGATAATACAACAGGCGTTTTTATAGCTCTAATTGCCACACATCATCTTCCAGGCCACTGTTCGTTAGCAGCGTTGACAGACAAAGTAATGCTCATTACCAAAGTTATGCATGATCTCCGCTGATCTGCTATTAGCGGGTGACTAATGTGCCAGCGTCGGTCTTCAACACCCTGTAAGTGGGCGGCCCATTGACCTCACCGGGCAGACGGGCCTGTTGGTTATTGCTTGTGTTTGCCAGCTTATCATGGCCACTGCCTAATCCTGACAAATACATCCAGATCATCAACAGGGCACGTTTCAATCTGATAATCTCCTATCATTGCTAAAGAGGCACGGCCGCTCATAGGAACACACTCTGCTGCTATTGTAGTGCATGACACACTTTCAGTTACTCTCCTAAAGTGCACTTCTGCCAGGCCTCCACACAAATTCCAATGAGCAGTTCTGGTTGTGTGTGTTTGGCTTTGCAAAGCTTGCTGATGTCCACTTTGATTAGCCACTCTCATCTTTCTCTCTTCTTCCTAGACAAGGATGGCCGGTTGCGGTTCATGTTTCTGGGGCATCTTCTGGCTTGTGGTTCTGATCTGCATAGGCTGGCCTCTCAGCATCACCTTAGGGGCTCTCTACGGCCTCGTCAGCCCCCTCACCACCTGCCTCGGCCTGGACCGGATCTCCGACTTACTCCTGGAGGGGGCCAACCTGGGCCGAACCTGTGCCAATAACATGAGGCATGGCAAGCCTTTGTGTTGAGAACCACCCTGGGTGATCGGGACCAGACAGCAGGACCAGAGATCGGAGGCGAGATTTATGCTTCTCTAGAGAGAAAAGTATTTGCCTTGAGAACAGTTAATGTCTGTTTTATGTTGAGATGTCCTGAGATGATTGGCACTCAATGAAGTGAGAAACTTTTTTAGCAAGTTATGTAACAAAAAAAGGTCCGTACGGTTTGTAAGAATGGATTCCGCTTGTTCTGTTAACACGTAATTAACTACGGATTTCAAATTTGTATGGTCTTGTCAGGAAGAAAATAGGCTTTGTGTTCATGGTCTGTGTTTGCAGTTTAATTCACGATGACACTGCATGGAGAAGATAAGAATGAAAATAGCAATTTAACAATGGAAATACTTAGACTTGTAAATGACTGTATGGAAACTTTTAATGCGATTAAAACTGCTTTGAACTTGCCCTCTGTGTTTGTCGACTTGACTTATTGTATACAGTATTTGGTGGTAAATCCATGTTTTGAAATGTGAAGGTAAATAGAGAAACACAGAAAGCCGAAGATATAACGGATGCAATTCTAGTTTGCTTCAATGATTTTGTTTACCTGCTTTTTCTCCTGTTTAGCGTCACAGGGGGTTGGAGCTTATCCCAGCACGAGTTGAATGGAAGTCAGGGAGAGAATTTTAAGACAATTTGCAAAGTCATCTCAAGCCCAACACAGACAGAGTCACTCACACGAAAACATCAACAACTTATGGCAGTATTTTTTATTTATTTTTTTGCTCCTTGGGGACAGCAGAACAAGATGTAAACACAACGTTGATATATAATAAACATATTAAGTTGTCGAAGTGGCAAACATTTGCCTGTTGACACGTCCAACAGATGGTGAGTAACAATATCATTCATTTCAAGTCTCATTTCTGACCCTTTACTATAACTTTTTTTATGACTTTTTTCGACATACTATATTATGACTTTATTTTTTATATACTACACTATGACTTTTCTATAATTTTTTTCGACATACTATACTATGACTTTTCAACATAATATTTGACCGTTTTATTACGCGGCAAGAAAGCAAATAAGTGTATTTCCAAAAACTAACAATTTCTTTAAAACCTAATTCATTATTAGTTGAATAAATCTTATTTTAGTCTTTGTTTTTATTCATGTGTTATTCCTTTTTTACGCTGTTGCATGTTCGCATGACCTCCATCCACCTCTTCCTTCTTGTCTGTGTTAGATCAAGTGCCATGAAACTTTAAAATTGACCTAAAGTCAAGTTAGGTCCAGAGTATTATACCATGCAGTATATCGGACGGACATCAGGCTTAATGTTTAATGTTTGTTTAATTACATTTCTTTTAGGCTAGTTGTTAGTTTCAACTCATGTGACTCAACCGAGTGTGCTCTGAGCTTTCATGACAAATAGGGCAGGGAGTGCTTGTAAATTACCATTTTCATCTGGCACATACTAATTTAGTGACCTCAAGTCGCCCTTTGCTTCATTGCTGCTGTGGGGGTCAGTCCAGTTTGCTTCAGCTGAGCTTCGAGGCCAGAGGTAATGTTGTTCAAAGGAGTTGATCCTTTCATGAAAAAATAAACTATCATGAAAGGTTTTATTTTCTGCTATTATTAATTGGTTTTTTTTCAGGCATATATTTGAGGTAATTGTACTTGACTGGAGTATTTACATTTTTTAGATACTTTGTCATTCTACATCACCACATTTCAGGAAGAAATATCTTAAACTTTAACTTGACAGCTTTACTTCTGACAGCTGTAGAGACCGGCTACTTTGCAACACATATGCAGCTTTTAAAGTGGGATTTCTATTCAGTGGAAAAGACAAATTTCTTTCTTACCAAGTCATTTTAATCTGGAATTAATTAATAACTTAATTTTTTTTCGCAAAAGTGAAAAGGTCTCAAAGGAATTCTTAAATTGTAACTGTTAAGCAAAGATTTTAGTATTGTATTCATACATTTGGAGGCTTTTGCTGATTACAAGGTATGATATATAGACACATTGTCAGCTGCTGTTTGTAAACACCGGCTCAACAAGCGAACAAGAGAGAGAGCACAGTGATGGTCGAGCGAGCTAGAGAGTGAATGAAAAGAGGGGCCAGCGTCAGTGAGAACAAAGCAGTGAATCAGAAGATTAAAACATTCTGACTGTTTCATGACGGTCATGTTTTTAAGCACAAATAAACACGCCAACCACACAAACCAACAATCTGCTCACTGTTGTTTAAAGGTAAAACTCATTCAATGTGGAATTACCCAGTGGAATTTCAAATAACTTTTGAATCGAACTTTACACTGTCTACAGCAAACTTCACAGTAAGTTTACTGCCTATTTTACAGCCTATTTCGGCTGAACAGTCCTGCTGAGGCACCTTTTCCACTTTTATCTTGTGATGCACTTTTGAAGCTGGTGAGTCAAAAAGTAAAACATGAAACAGAATCACAGTCCAAATGGAATCCCAGTGGAGCAGATGGGGGTTATAAGAACATGCGATAGAGACGAGATCAAATGACACATTGATGTACACCTGAACTATTGAGGTTTAAAATGTGCAATACATTAAGCAATGCTTTATTGATCGTAAAGGCAAAATTCTCTTTTGGGTCTGGAGAGGAAGTAGCTTCATAACAGCATCCATGAAGCAGATATTCATATTGGAAAAAAACCAACATGTTAGAACTACTAATATCGTATTTCTGTAGAAGCTCATATGCAAGACTATCAGAGAGCAAAAGCCTATTTAGCTGAACTTCTTCTTGGCAAGGTGTGTACTAAACTCACATGCTTTCCTATCAGTTTTGACTGGCACTGCACATTTGGTGCTACCACCAAAATAGCTCAGGATTCAATACTTAGGGACCCCTATAAAGAATTGTCAAAATACTCTTGCTGAGCAGCCTACCTGCAAATCTGGGTAGCTGTCTTTTTTGTAGCCTATTTAAATTTGATTCATGAATATTTAAATTTCAATCCAAAGCGCTTCAGATTTCTGTGTTTTTGGCATTCTTAGCAGACGACACAGCGGGCGATAATCCTTGAAGCCACGATGACAGTGCCTCACTGAGAGGCTACGAGAGAGAGAGAGAGAGGGGGGGGGGGGGGGGGGGGG